TTTTTGTTATTTTTTTTTTTTGTTTATTTGTTGTTTTTTTTTTCGGGATTGGAATGGGAAGGGAGGGGGTATCTTCGATTTCGGGATTGGAAAAGGGAAGGGAGGGGTAATTAAGACTTTGATTTTTACTTTCTGTTAAGCTCATTTACTTTTACTTTTGATTTGTCATGTTTTGATTTTGTTTGTTTTCTTATTTTTTTCTTGGACGCACCGTTTTCTACGTGTGCCACTGTTGTAAAAGTGTAGCTTCCAAATAAAGAATATAATATGGCTGCGCAATCGTTTCCATTTTGAAGCTGATACATCTATCTCTCATAAAATATCAAACATATTAATATTTTCCACCAAAAGGAGTTTCGAATTTAATGGAACATTTACATGACCTTTAAAAGTATAGTATATTTCAACTTCAATTTCCATAAATTGGCCAAAATTCGCTAAGTAGCACATACACTGCAGGAATGGGCCAAACAATTTCTAAGATCACAGTAATAGACGATTAACAAATGAGTAAAAACAACATTCAACAAAATGTCTACAATACAATGAATCCTATAAATACGAACCTCACGAAGAGAGACAAAAATAGGATACCAACAGGTAGGCCCTACAGATAACTGCCTGCCCGCCCTCACACGGAACTTGCGATTCAGAACGATAAGCGTCCGCGTCCGGTCGTGTGTTTGTGTGACGTGTCAGTGTGACAATATATACTGACCTGGATATGGAAAGAAAGCTGCTCAGCTCTGTTTATTTAATCTCAATCTGACGGGATAGTCAAATAAACAAAAAGTATGGCACCAAAACCCAGAAAAAGACTCAGGCAGAAAGACACCGGCAAAGGTAAGTAACTGATAGGGTAAATGAAGTGACGTGTAGAGTAAGTATACAGTGATTTATACGTAGGCCTACCAAGGCGGAGATTTCGAAGTAAAAATCGTGGTTAGGCTAGCGCTAGGCCTATAGGCTTGACCGACGAGCTGTGGCAACATTTGATTGACTGTCTGTGCTAGGCCTAGGCCGGTAGATGTGCTTATTTATAGTCTAGGCCTAGCACTGGAGCTAGTCTTCTGTACCAATTGGCCTTAGCTAGGCCTAGACATCTTACCATGTGTGCCTTCCTTTGCAGCCCATGAAACTGGGAAAAAATTAGGTCGGCAAAAATTTGCCTTGAAAATTGATGGTTAGGCCCCTACCTAGATAAAATTTAATAATTCGAGGCTAAGATGGTCACGGTGTTAAATAAACTGTCTACTATGCGAGATGCATGCAATTGACCTTCAGCATTAAATAATGTGCAGTGTCTATGCTTACGTCGAGACATAAACATTAATCATAGGCTGTGCTTACGCCGATCTATTGACTATGCGCAGGCAGCTTGTTACATCAAAGGCATAAGCATTGAGCAGCTATGCTTGTGCCGATGTCACAAGCCTACGCTTACGTATGTCATAAGCGCTGGTATGTTTACATCGATGCGGAGTACAAAGGCGATTCAGTAGCCTACGTCGAGATGTGAGCATTGGCTATGCGTAGCCTAGGTCCACAAAATTTTCCAAAAGACAAGCATGTCGTGATGAATTTACTAGGCATGGCATTACTAATAATACTAATGTTAAGTATCGAGACAAGGGCTACGTACCTAGTTTTTGCATACACTAGGCCTAGGCTTTTCTTTCCACCAACGAGTACAAATAGATTAGAACAAGCTGAGCCATTGGTGGAGTGTCTGAAATCTGTGGGGGGGGGGCAGGGGCGCGTGGAAAAAATGACCGGCAAGGACAAATTTTAGGGGGATATATGGAATATATGCAGGGATGGCACAGAATGGTCAACGGGAGACCGAGGTCCCCAATGAGAGCAAAGTGGGTGTGGTCGGACGCCGCTAAAAATGGTTTGAAAATGGTCCTGGGGAGACGAAGCCCCCGAAAAATATGACATTTAGGGGTTTCATATGCTTATTTAACTGATTTTTAAAAATAGATAGATCTATCTATTCAATTTAGAAAATAGATGTTTTGTTTTCTCCCCGACGAAGCATGTTTTTTTTTTTTTTTTTTTTTTTTTGGGGGGGGGGGGGGGGGGGGGGAAGAATGGGGAAGGAAAATTAAATTATCTTGGGGTAAATTCCCCTTTCCCCCATAGCGCCACCACTGAGAATAAGAAAACGTACTCCCATAATTATTAGTTACCTCTTTGTTTCCACTTATTCAAGGACTCGCCATCATCGTCGTGTAAACAAATATTTTTGTCATTTTGGTTTGCCTGTGCGTGCCACATGTAACTTTAATGTAGGCCTATATTGATATGTGGACGTTTTCCCTGTTTTATTCTGAATGGCAAATTGAGTAAAATAAGTTTGTATACACATTTTGTATAAAAATTGTTCCAAAACCTTATACTTACCTTTCATCATTTAGAACACCATTTTTTAAACATTATATTTCATTTATTCGCTTCATCAATATATACAAAAAAGAAGACAGACATACAATGGACCGACAAAAGGAGGCTGGCTTCCCAAAAAGAGACTGTAGGGTCGCCAAATGAAACAATGTTTTATTCATCAATCTAAGGGAGAGTACAATATTGCTCTTTTTTTATAATGACATTTCTCACAGTAAAATTGATCTGCAAAGAACCAATACTGTTTGCTAAACATAAAAAATGGTTATATGTTCTATTGAATATTTTTGTTTTGGAGGCATTTATTCAGCTGGTTGGTAAAACATCCATACAACGCAAGTCGGCAGAAATATTACTATAAAAGAATCCATCCTACAGCAATTTTTGTATTGTAACATGATTAAATAGGCCGACTTCTGAGATCATGTTGGCAGTTTAGATTGGCTGTAATCCAGCTATTTGAGGAAGATAAATAATTAAATTTTAGTATAATGTATATCAAAATTATTGTATTAAATAACAAACAATATTCCAAATACTTTTAAGCTTTTCTGATGCATAGGAAGCGAGTACGGTAATTTTTATGATTAATGACGGTACTAATGTCGACCAGAGATGGCGCTTTGCATTACCTTATTATGCCAGCGAATGTGAAGCCTAGGCAGGCGATAGATGAGGGAAAATTACTTGATTTTGAGGTGTATTATTACGATTTAGGTTAAATTACGTGGATCGTATTTCAAAATGTTTCTTCTTAAAAGTTATTGACACAATGAACTTTCGGGTTACGCCAAAAGAATTACAAAATTATTGAAATGAATGTTTGCTTACAAATGAATCCACACACACACATAAAATAGCCAGTGAATAATGCTTCCCCGGTTGGGCCTACGCCTTGCGTTGCCATAAGCCCGTCATCGGCATAAGCATAGCATATGATTAATGTTTTTGTAAAAAATAATTTCCCAAAAACGTTGAAGGTTACAGGCAGGTAATGCATGAAAGCATGGGCCATGTACATGTAGAGCATGCCAGGGCTAGGCCTAACTAATTAATCATATTAAATAAAAGGCAGCATTTGAAAAAATTCAGCAAATAGGATATGACCAGGGTTTGACTGTACAGTGTCGTGTCTAGGAGTCTTGAAATGGAAGGGGAGGGGGCTGATAGGGTGGCTCGATAATTAAGTGAGGGGCACTAGGTCACCAAATAAGGTAATTTTTTAACTACTCATATTAGGGGCGATTAGGGGAGCAAACATTTTTGGGGGCGTGCACACCTCCCTAGATACGCCACTGCAACATTTTTTGTTCATCCAATCAGAACGTTCAATTCAAATAAATCATTAACTATCTTTGAAGCAAATCAAACAATTTAGTTTTTATGATTTACAGACTTTACTTTGAATATTCATAACCTCAACTCATTTCAAAAGGACATTCACTTTCATACACTTATCAATGAGATATGTTGTGTTAAATTAGGTGTTGTATAAACAAATTAATGACTATTTCTGGATATTTCAGGTGACTCAGATAATTCACAGAATGGAAAAGCAAAGAAAGGAGATAGGGGGGAGGCAAGTGACTCTTCAAGTGGCATATTGACAAAGCTAATAGTGTTGCTTGTTGTGGCTGCTATTGTTGGTTTTGCTGCTGCAGTTCATCTTGGTTACATCGATATAAAACAGCTTCAAGGTAAAGTGCTGTAGATTCATTCCATGTTTTGATTTTGCTTTAAAGTCTGAAAATATGATCATAATATTTAATATTGCTTTCCATAGAATTGAATGGTGCTGTTGACCCAGAATCCAAAAGTAGCCAATCTCAGAAACCAGTTGTGTCAGAAACTGAAGAAAAGGATGATGGTTAGTGATGATATAAAAAAAATTGCTATATGTTCCATTGAATCCTGAATATAAGACTGAACCATTCTTGTACATAACTATGTTTTACATAATATAAATGTCATGAACAGTGCATCATACAAATTAATTTTTAAATTCTCTGTGTCCTTTTTTTTCCCAAATTTAATAATCATTTGATTTCCCTTAAGATGATAGAGTAAAGAGAGATAAGCCAGAGCCTATAAAAGAGACATCAAAAAGCAAGAGAGAAACAGCTCCTAAGGAGTCTAAAAAGAAGGAAGAGAACATTGCTAAATCAAGTGAAAAACCTGAAGTAAAGAAAGAGAAGGTACCAGAGCCTAAGAAAGAGAAGACACCAGAATCAAAAACAACAAAGGCACCAGAACCGAAAAAAGAGGTACCTGAAGTGAAGGAAGAGAAAGCACAAAAGCCTAAAAAAGAGAAGACCCCAGAGCCAAAGAAAGAGAAGGCACCAGAGCCAAAGAAAGAAAAGGCACAAGAGCCTAAGAAAGAAAAGCCTCCAGTGCCAAAGAAAGAGAAGTCACCAGAGCTAAAGAAAGAGAAGTCACCAGAGCCAAAGAAAGAGAAAGTACCAGAGCCAAAGAAAGAGAAGGCACCAGACCCAAAGAAAGAAAAGGCACAAGAGCCTAAGAAAGAAAAGCCTCCAGTGCCAAAGAAAGAGAAGTCACCAGAGCCAAAGAAAGAGAAAGTACCAGAGCCAAAGAAAGAGAAGGTGCCAGAGCCAAAGAAAGAAAAGGCACAAGAGCCAAAGGAAGAGAAGGCACCAGAGCCCAGGAAGGAAAAGCCACCAGAACCAAAGAAAGATAAGGCAGCAGAGCAAAAGGAAAAATCCAACATAAAGGAAAAAAGAATACCAGAGCCGACAAGACAGGTTAAATTGGAAAAAGAGAAAACACTAGAACCAGAAAAAGAAAAGGCACCAGAGGCAAAAAATGAAAAGGCTCCAGAGCAGAAAAAAGAAAAGGTTCCAGAGCCAAAGAAAGAGAAAAGGCCAGAGCCTAAGAAGGAAAAACCAGAAGAACCAAAGGAAGATAAAACACATGAGGTAAGAGGAGATAAGGCACCGAAAACAGAGAAAGAAAAGGAAACAGAGTCAAAGCAAGAGAAAACCCCAGAGCCAAAGAAAGAAAAGGCACCAGAGCCGAAGAAAGAAAAGGCGCCAGAACCAAAGAAGGAATCGGATGTGAATCAAGGTGAAAAGAGTAAGAAAATAAAAACTAGGAGAGAAGAAGTAATTGAGGAAGGGCGCACCAATGCATATGATAAGAAAATTGAAAAGGAATTAGACATCGCTGAAGACTTACTATCACAGGTTAGTTACTTTAAGTAATTATCTAGGAAGCATGTGGCATGGTGGTATTGCTTTGGGCTTCAAATTGGAAGGTTACGGTTTCAATTCTGTAGCTGATCTATGTGTTTGAGTCTTAACAGAAAGTTAAAATGGCACTGCATTAAAATTAAGGGATATTCCACTGAGGGAGCAGAGTATGTGTTTTATAGAAATTTGTTACAATGAACAGGGTAAAATGTGAAGCACATAAACTCAGAGGCTTTGGCATATGTGTTTACAAGACTAACTTTACTGTAAATTATTCTTCGTAAACATGTATCTTTATATTTATAATTTGGGCTCATGATTCAAATAAATAAATGGAAATAAATTGAATCAAGGTTTAACAATTTGAAGTTAATAGTTCAATTGATTGCACATTTTTGTAAATTTAGAGGAAAGATTTAAACCTTCATGTGGGATCTATGTCTTTTTTCCTATCCCCCTATCATTTTGCATTGCCATTCACTTTAATTTGCAAGTAACGTTACTTATTTTCGGCAGAAAAAATTTGAATCTTCACTAAGACGCTTTGAGAAACTGTTGACAGTGCATCCAGCGAGTCCACGTGCACGCCTGGGGCGCGGCAATGCACTGAATGCCCTTGCAGAGGAGCAGCGCAGTAACGATCTACTAAATGCGTAAGTTGATCACAGTTTGCACATTTCTAAATTTTAGATAAATGAGAAGTCCAAGGGAATGATAAAAGAGTCATTAGTGGAATAGCTGCTACTGCACTGAAAGTGACAGTATTGCAATGAAAGTAACACTGTAACAGGAAGGCAGTGGTACTACTGTATGGTTCTATGTTATAAAGTCAATGAAAAGTCACAAAACCAGTTGTTAAATTTCCGAGTTTTTTACATATTTTTTTTGATAGATGCATTACTGCGTATGATGAGGCTGCAAGGGCACCAAACTGCCCAAAGGAAATACTGAGAGAGGCGTTGGTATCGCAAGCTGATAGGCTGAAATTTCTAGGTAAGTCATTAATTAAAATATTGATAAATAATGACTAGACCCAGATATCTATAGAATTGCTTGTCCAATGTGTTTGATCATTTTTTTAAATTGTAATTTTAAAGCAGTTATTATAGTTTTGGATTCAGGAATTGAAATTATGGGGATCCCAGAGAGGGACAGATGCATCCTTCTATGTCTAGTATCTATTTGTAAGGCATTTTAAAATGTTTTTAATGTATATTTTTAAGGAAATTCTGTAAAAGCAGTTTCTGTACTTGAAGACCTAAATAAGAAAGTTCCAAATGATGTGAAGATTCTGCGAGAGCTGGGTGTTGCTCATTTGATTCGTGGCAGTAATGACAATGCAAGACCAATATTCCAGAAGGTATTATTATTCGTTTCAAAAATACATTAAAATATCTAAGTTCATTCAATGTGATAACCAGTCGATAAGATATATGTATGTCTATGCATTATGATGTAGTGAAAGTGATTATTTGGGAACTTCTGACCGCCATCACATGTGACTGTTGCTTCGTTTAGTTATCAACCCTTTTTGTTTTTCTAGATGAGATTGATGGTAACTTAGTCATGTGATCAGTGTTTTATGCTTTATCAAATCTCCGCAGAAGCAGATACTGTACTTCAGTTTATAGATTTAATGATCTTTTTAATGAAGCTCCCTATTGCAGTGTTGAAACAGTGGTGTCCTGTATTTCTTACTGAAGCCTGGCTTCGTTAAAATCACTACACTGTCGCTACAACTGGTATTTTAAGTGCAATCGTTATACTGCTTAGCAGTCCCCCAATGTAATAGGCAAGGCTCTTCAATTCAACCGACCAATCAGAATCACGAAAAGCTGTCCATAATAATAGCTCGTAGCAATTGCATGGAAACCAAGCTTTATTGTTATCTCTTCATTTTTCAATAGATTCTTCAACTCTCTCCTAAAGATGGTCATGCGAAGGTGCATCTGGGCTTCATTGTGAAGTCAGAGAATAAATATGAAGAGTCCATTCCATTGCTGAAGGAGGGAATAGCAACCGGAGAGGAGGGCACACAAGAAGGAAAATATTATTTCCACCTTGGCGATGCATTATACAGATTGGGAAAAAAAGATGAGGTACCACATTGTAAATTTCTTACTTTCGTTGCATTGCAGTTTCGCCAGTGTGGGCTCATAGGGGCTTGTTCAGGTTTCCTTGTTGTTACATTTAAATTAACATAGCACGAGTGTGTTTCCGACAACAAGAGAAAAATTGTATACTTTTATACTTTTTTTATACTAGCTTATACTAACAGAATAAGCAAACTAAAAATGAAGGCTTTATCAGTTTTAATATAATATTATTTTGATGTGAGTTAAACGCTAGAATAAGTAAATGAACACTATTTTGATGAATCATAGTGCCTTTCCTTGCCCATTATTTCTCACATTAATGCTGGGCAATTAAACATTACCCTTTCCTATACTTTAACACTGATCACACCCATTGTACGTCACGTGACTGGCTGTAAATTTTGATGCGAGTTTGCGTCGGGAAAAACATTATGGGAGTGATGTTTTGCCCTACCTGACCTGTTATAATTAATAATTTTATCTTTGCTTTTTTCTTACTGTTTTACCTAATTTTATTAAAAGTTTTATTACATTTTTTTTTTTGTTGCAGGCGTATGAAATATATAATGAGGCTGCAGATAAAGGTTTCTTCATGTCTAAATGGCAACGGTCATTGTACAATGTTGATTCGTTGACATCCAAGCCGTGGTGGACCCCAGAATCTGCTCTTATTTCAAAGTATGCAAAAGTAAGTACCAATATAAGACAATGGTGCCACATGGCACAAAGAGGATAGGTGAGGTAACGTAAACAATAAGGTTATAGAATACTTTTAAAATTATATGAAATTTTATGATGAATTTTTAAAATCTAATAGTTGATTTAGACAAGATAAAATGTTACACAGACATGTGCTGGGAGAAATTTAACAAGAGTTTAAAGGCATGTTATGTTTGGTTTGTACACTTCCAGACATTGCTGAGGCCTGTAACACTATTAAGATATGTACCATATATTTGTGCTCATGCTGACGGGGTGGGGATAATCTTTCTCATTTATGTTACACGTATCTTCACTGTCTATCTACTTAAAGATCATAAGCAGTTAGTGAATTCTTAAAATCTAATAGTTGATTTAGACAAGATAAAATGTTACACAGGCATGTGCTGGGAGAAATTTAACCAGAGTTTGAAGGCATGTTATGTTTGGTTTGTACACTTCCAGACATTACTGAGGCCTGTATCACTATTAAGATATGTACCATTTATTTGTGCTCATGCTGACAGGGTGGGGATAATCTTTCTCATTTATGTTACGCGTATCTTCACTCTCTATCTACTTAAAGATCATAAGCAGTTAGTTCACTCACTTAAATAAAATCAGGGCTGTATCCATTGGTACCAGCTTTTATTTAACAAGGTTTAAATTCAGTCATTTGATGGTGGAGAGGTGGTGAAGATGATTCTTTCTAATGTCTGTTGAAATCCGCTATAATATTTTAAAATTTTTATTAATTAATTACCTCTCTACTGTACCTTCAGCTTCTTGAAGATAATTGGAAAGTTATACGTGATGAAGGCCTGGCAAACCTGGATTCTAAAACCGGGTCATTTGTACCAGAAGTCGAAAACCTCCGTGAGAGTGGTGATTGGAAACAGTTTACATTATACCAGCGAGGTTGGTAACATCTAGAATCTGGTTCTGATTTTACCTGGGTGTACATGTCACATTATTTTATATAATCTCTTTCTTTTAGGTATTTGATTCATTCCCAACTGTTGCAGATGGGAATGAACCTTTCCAGAGCATTAATAATCTAATTGATCAGAACCTGTGAAAAAACATTTATCACTTGAAATGTGTTCCAAATAATATTAAAAGTAATTTCAATAATTTTCCCAAGATTGGTCCAATAATATTTAGACCATATCATAATAAACAGCACCTTTTTCCCTTGTCAGGCTTGCATCTATCTCTAGGGGGCCACTGTCCCGATTGCAGCTTCAGAGCACCTGCACATTTGTGGCAGGGCAAATGTGTTTCCTGTTGCTTTGTTTAAGCCACCTAGGTAGAGGTTCGGAAACACAAAAGAGTAAATAAATAATAAAATAACATTGTAGAAAAGGCTGCCTCTGCAAGTGGAAATGGCGCCGTGAACAATGGATGGATATGTGTGCCTTAACATGACATAATTATTATAATTATTGTTGTTATTATTATTTTTGTGTTTTTATCATTAAGTTGATTTATATGGCAAAAATAGAAAGTCACTTCAATAAGCAAGAATTAAAGTTAATTTTGATTTTTCAGGTAAAAAGAATGAGGCTAATTGTAAGAAAACACCACAGACTTGCAAAATCTTAGACCAGATCCCCATGGCAACTACCAACAAGCGTGGCCAAATTAAGTATTCAGTGCTTCAGCCTGGGACCCATATATGGCCTCATTGTGGCCCAACTAACTGCCGCCTAAGAAGTCATCTCGGTCTCGTGGTTCCAGAAGGGGTGAGGATACGAGTCAAAGATGATATTAGGTAGGTTGTTCATACTGGAATTCTTCCATGTTTACAGATTACAAAATTGAGAATATTATTATTAACTGTTATTATATTGCAATAATTAATTTCAACACCAACAATGCAATAGAAAAAAACATACTTTTAACCCAATAGAAAATATGATTATTAAAATGTTGTAATTAAGATCATATTGCTGGAAATTCTTCATCGGGTGGGGTCCAAGCAGGGGATTTACGTTGATGACGATTAGCAACTAATTACCTATTGAGATGTCAAGTGCAGTAATGAGATATTTTTTGATTTATCAATCATTTAGCGTTTTCGATTGGAACTTATCCATTGAGTATGTTAACCACATTAAGAACAAACTCAACAAAGTATTTTGAATGTTAAGTACAAACTCAACGAAAAATTAGTGTTATTTAACCAACCGAATACGAAAAGTACTTGACAGATTTTCTGTTGAGCACGAAAGTTCCCATTTGAATACAAGAATTATCTCTTTAAAAAGTATTTTTAATAATGCATTCTATTGAAGTATAATCATTTTATCCCTGGAATATCAGATGATATCTACCTTTTTTACTCCAAAAATAAGCAAATGGCATAATGGCCGGCCACGATAAAAGAATTTTTTTATTCAACCTGGCAACTGTCACTAATAGACTTTTGCCGCTATTTACCATGGCTATTTCCATTGTGACAGTATGTACAGTAAATAGACTGCTACAGTATTAGTAGATCTCTACTATAATGCAAACCCCACAACCACATCAGCTCCCACCGACAACACTCAAATGGATAGATGGAATTATTCTGAATACTTAATCAATATTCATTGTTCTTCCTTAAGGTCCAGTTAACAGTTGAAAACATGTTTAGAATATGAAATAATATTTGAAAAAATGATTTTTAAAAAAAACCAAAAAAAAAAACAAAAACAGTGAAAATTGGTATACACAAGAAGCAAAAAGAAACAGTTTTACTTATCAAATTTTTAAATGAATGCAATGTTAAAGATTTTAATAAACTGCCTGTATCTAAGATTTAAGAGCTTTTGATTTGTGCGACGACGCTAGAACGGAATTACTCATGCGTGACGGTCCTACCTGGCATCCTGCGTTCTCTGCACACATAGATTTGGACAAATTGTGTTCCAGAATCTACTCGAAGAGATGACCTTAACGTTCTCGCATGCACAGATGACTTTTTCTGACGTCATTACGTTCTACCGTCGTCGCGCAATCGAAAGCAAATGGCATAGCATTGTCCAAATCATGCTTTTAGACCACAATATTAGGGATTGGCAATCCAAAATAATAATATTTCGAGAGGCGAATTATTTTTTTTAACTTGAAGTTGGACGCAGGGGGTCCAGACCTGTCTGACGAGGAGGGGAAATTCCCCCCGCCACCACCACTGAATATGGGTTCTCAAACAGTCACCTAAGCATGTTAGACAGCTGGATTAATTGTTGACTTTTAATGTTTTTCAGGACATGGCATGAAGGAAAGCTAATGATCTTTGATGATTCTTTTGAGCATGAGGTTTGGCATGAAGGCAGTAGTCTAAGATTGGTTCTTATAGTGGATTTCTGGCATCCAGAACTAACAGAGTCACAGAAGAGAAAGCTAACAGCTATCTAAACAGTGGATGCTGAAAGTTGAAGAATTAAGTTTTGTCTTCCAAGTTACCTCCATATTCATCATGCCGTAAGTGGTTGATGTGAGTCACTTGATCGGGGGTCACATGACATGCCCAAGACATGTTACAGTGCTGGGTCAGTAGTCAATTATGTTTAATAAAGGTCACATTCATTGAAAGGTCACATTGATATACAATATAATTCGTGGGGTTTTTTATATAGCGGTCACAATTTAGCTGAAAGGCTACAAGAATGATATTTAAAAAAAATAAAACATGAACTTGAACCTAGGATCAGATGATTGGTCATTGGTCACTTAATAACCATGTGACAGGGCTACATATTATGATCACATGGTTAGAGCCTAATTATCGGGGAACATGACTGATATTTTGTTGGTCACATTTTCTTGTTAAATGAATTTTATTTTCTGGTTTAATTCATTGCAGTTGTGCAATTTGTACTAGATTATACTCAATATTTTGAATGAGATAAAAAAAAAAAACCCAATTTTCCCATGATAATTATAATCATGAAAAGTAACATCGCCCATGAATTTTTTTGTCTTAATTTATTGATTCATATTATATTTCTATTGTTTAAGATACCATTTTGGTAGTAACTCAAGTTAGGCATTTCTGCATTTCTATGTTTATGTGTCCTAGAAATCTGATAATTAAGAAAATTAAGAAGTCAGCAAATCAGACGTCTTTTAACTTTATTAAAAATAATAAAATTAAACCTTAACCTGTAAAGGGTAAAGGTCAGCTTACTGCTTCAGTATAATGTTGACGAATACCTTAATGTAGCATTTTTGTTTAATCATATAATGATGCTGGGTTCAGCTACTTTGCAGAAATTGTTGGTTAAGATACAGTACTTATTTTTAAATGTCTTTGCTATTAAGCATCATAAACTACTTAAAATTCATTTTATAAAAAAAAGTTATGTAAGTGTTTTTAGTATAATATTGTCGTGTTAGATACTAGTATTTTATTTAATTTATAATAATAGTTACCTGGTGCTTCCCAATTTTAATCTCCCGTCTTGACAGTTTATATTTTGTCTTTATTTTAAAGATATACTGACTACCTGTGTTAGGCTAAGAATATGCTTGCTACAACTTAAATTAGTTATTAACTTCCAGTTGAAATTTACAATGAGGAAACATTTCCCTTGGATTTATATAAATAATACTGTATTTAAATTTTGTGTGGACCTTTAATTTGGTGTGTACAGTAATTAATAATTGATTATTAAATTAAAAATTTGCACTGTAAATCAGCAAAAAATAAATTATTTTGATCTGTAGACCTATCTCATTGGAAGCTGATAGCATTTTTTTTAAAGTGAGCAATCTAAGGCCAAGTAAAAAAAAAGTAGTTTCTTGTCCTAATATTTTTTAAAAAGGAGAATGAGGGAACTTTTTTTTCCCCGAGATGGCAAATCCAAGATGGTCGATGGGAAACAGCTACTACTTTCTCACTTTTACCAAGTAGACACATCGAAAACAAATAACTAGACATGATTCATACCATATGTATCCCCAACCACGAACAGTTGAGAGAGGAGTTAGCCAGATTTGTGTACATTTTGTAAAATAAAGGAAAGAAAAAAAGAAAAAAAAAATTGGTGAGGCAGAGAAAATGTATGAGCAAGGTGACGAGAAACAAGTAATTTTTTTTTATTTGGCCTGTTTTAAGTCAGTTGAGTATTTTTCAATTTTACTACAGTCTGAGTCAGTATATCTTTAAACTTTGTAGTTTTTTAGATGAAGCAATAATGTTTTGTTGTTTTATGTTTGATATAGAGTTTTGAAAAAGGAAATCTGGAAAATGGGATTACTGTATACTGTTATTTTTGTTTTTTACTTTGTTTAATTGCAATAATCCAAAAACATTTCCATAGACACAACCCTCTCGCCAAGTTGTAGAACAGAAATTGACAATAGGCCTACTAGCTTAATTGTACTACTGTATTATAGCTTGTTACATTATAAGAACAATAGTTTAGAACTTGTGTGTAATATTGAATGATTGAAGTATCAATAATACTGTCTGGTTCCTTCCTACCTAACTAAATAATTATGTTAACTTTAAGTTCAGTTGTAGAGTAAGTATGACATTTTATTATTGCTTTTTATAAGTGCCTTGCCAATATTTGAACAGTCAGTGCCGGCCTGTAACTAGGGATGTTTCTGTAGTTCAGCCAAACTCCTTTTTCAAGTGTACCCCTCCCATATGATAAACCAAACTACCCCTTTTGCATCAAACACCATCAAAATGAGGATGAAATTCACCATGTACATGTTATGTTGTTTCAGTGCCAGTTGTCTTCTCACCTGACTACTACAGCATGGTCCTGTGGCTCTCGTAAGACTGCTTAATGAATCATTGTTACATGCTGATGCTTATTTGACATTGTGTGTTCACATAGTGAATGTTTTTTATAGTCCTAACTTTCTTTCCCAACAGGGGTCGTGTGTACCCTGGACCTCTCGCTGGCACTGTCAATCCTGGTCCAATCCTGGTCATGCTTGTGTACATGGGCAAGGGATTTTATCAACATTTGTCTCTTATTAAAAGATGTACTGTTCCTTGCAAAAAACAAAAAAAAAATCATAAAAATCATTTTTGAAATTTACTTGCCCATTTTGAAGTAAAAAAATTAATGTATTTAAAAAATGCTTACCCATAAAAAACATCATTTTACATATTATGTTTTATTACAATTATCCAGGGAACACATTTTTTTAATTTAATAATTTCTATGCTCAAGTTAATAATTTGTATGTTACTGCAAAATGAGCAAGTTAATTTAAAAATAATTTTTTATGATTTTGGTGATTTTCAAGGGACAGTACATCTTTAACGAGTCACCAGAATATAGATATGTACAGTTCCTTCCCGAGAATAAATGGCAGGCCCGTAATTTATTTAATTTGTGGGAATTCGTTTCAGTGGAAAGTGGACCTTTTGGCTTGTATGATCTCCGATACTCTGGAGAACACTGTAAATATATCATCGAATATCAATTTTTCGTTTTTAAATGCGGACCTTCTCCGGTTTTTGGGTGGTTCATGGTAACCTCCTT